ATTTATTTATTTATTTTACACAGAGGTATTTATTTATGTAGGTAATAAAATAATTGGAATCCATTTTGTTGTGAAATTGGGTTTTTGTAGCTATGAGTGTAAGCTGTGTCTGACACTGCACAACAATGAGGGGAACTACTTGGCTCACACACAGGGAAAGCGTCACCAGACCAATTTGGCTAAGAGAGCCGCTCGCGAGGCAAAAGAAGCACCAGCTCAGCCTCAGCCTCACAAGCGAAAAGTCTCTCTCCGAAAATCAGGTAAAATAATAGTCTTCTATCAATAACTCTAATCGACTATTATGTCTGTACTCATGTAAGTTCTTTGACCCTGAAGTGTAGTTTGCAATGTTTAGCAGACAAATCCCAATTCCTGAAAATTCAACTGCATTGAAATAGACTGATTAAGTAAAGATCAATCCCAAGTAATGGGTACTTGGGAGGGGTTCCTGATGTTTGTAGTATTTGCACAATGTAGTTGCTCTCAAGATTGAATGGGCAAATGCACATTGTTCACTTTTACTTTTTACGACAATGCTATGCAGTGTCCCTAATAGGTTGATTATATAAATATTAACATTTAATTTTAGTTGTGGGGTTTTGAAGATTACATTAAATCTTATTTTTATGTTACTGACCTTAGAAAAGTTCTAAATTTTATTTATTGTGGCTTGCAGTGAAAATTGGCAGGCCTGGTTACCGTGTGACAAAGCAGTTCGATCCCGAGACGAAGCAAAGGTCTCTTCTCTTCCAGGTTGGGATCTGATCCTTAGCAATCAAATTGTCCAGCAAGTATTTCTTGTAACTGGAAGTACTAGGCATGTGCAGACAGTGCTTTTGAAATGGAGCACACATGATAACTAAGCTAATTTTATAAAATCTGCATCACTTTCTGTTCTGAAATATATTCTCAAAGGCTCAATCCGTCAAACATGATGAAAGGGGTTTTTTTTTTTTTTTTAAATTCAAATAAGTTGAGAGGGAAACTGGCAAGGTTAGTTGAACATAAAGATTTAATCTTCATGGGTCAAAAGTATAACACTAATCTTGATTTGTAGAGAGGAACTGTATTGCAGCAATTTCNATAAGTTGAGAGGGAAACTGGCAAGGTTAGTTGAACATAAAGATTTAATCTTCATGGGTCAAAAGTATAACACTAATCTTGATTTGTAGAGAGGAACTGTATTGCAGCAATTTCACTATCTTATACATTGTAGTGTGATGAATTATCAGAAAACATAGAAATTGCAGTTCTTGTAACTTGAAACAAGCAACTCAAACACAAGTGTATGGGAAAGCCATTGAGGAAAATGATAACCATTAATTCCACTTGCTAAGAGTTTAAGTAAAGAACCATCGACAATGCAATTAAAGGCTTAGTGGAAGGTATAAAAACAGCTTAGAGAGAACATTTTGTACCTATCTCTTGAAGGAGATCCGAAGAATGTTATTCAGACGACTAAAGATTGGGAATGGGCCATGGAACTTATGTTCAGTTTTGCAAGAGTGAAAAAATTAGCTAAGAAATAATTTTACCGGAGTAATAGTTGGATCTACCTATGGAGAAGCAAAACAAAACAGCAAATTGTCATTGTGAAAGTTGGCAAAGGAAAAATTAGAGCGAAAAGTAGAATCATGAGAAAGCGGGGGCTTCCGAAGTAGGGGATATTGGAGAGAAAGATATCAAACATAAAAGCGCAAAGATCTCTAGGCAAATTTCTTTTTTCCAGTAAGAATGCAGATACAAATTGATATGCAGAACTCTGATGTTTTTNTTTTCCTATGGTTGACTTCGGTTCTATTGTAGATTGAATATCCTGAGATTGAAGACAACACTAGGCCAAGGCATCGGTTTATGTCATCCTTCGAGCAGGTATGCTAAAATGTTCTCCAAGTCTGATGCTCAATGTCTCCTTTATGGACTTGTAGTGATCTACTTGCTCTAAATAATCTTTTTTTTTTAAAATTATGTCAAGAATTCAATTGAAATTGCTGCTTCACTTTTTATGGTAGTATCATTTCATAATCTTTCATTGTCTTTTACTTCTGTGTTGCAGAAAGTCCAATCCTTTGATAAAAGATATCAGTTTCNTAAATTATGTCGAGAATTCAATTGAAATTGCTGCTTCACTTTTTATGGTAGTATCATTTCATAATCTTTNAAAATTATGTCAAGAATTCAATTGAAATTGCTGCTTCACTTTTTATGGTAGTATCATTTCATAATCTTTCATTGTCTTTTACTTCTGTGTTGCAGAAAGTCCAATCCTTTGATAAAAGATATCAGTTTCTCCTGTTTGCAGCTGAGCCCTATGAGATCATTTCTTTCAAGGTAATTTGATTAGGCATTTGCATTGACGAATTTAAATGTATTCATAAATGGTTTGTTAAGTATTGGTCAATAATGAGGTCTGACTCTGCACCTTTATTTTTCAGGTTCCAAGTACTGAAATTGACAAGTCAACTTCCAAGTTTTTCTCTCATTGGGATCCAGACTCAAAAATGTTTACGGTTCGTCTATTCCACCTCATACTATGCCTTCCTAAATAATTATGTAGTACACATACCACACGGTGGTATAAACCTGGATCATTTTGTTTCGCTGTGATTGTGAGCCAAGACACCATGTGGGCTCAGTCCTGGTCTGTGTTGTTCAGTGCCACAGTGTGGACCCATGTTTGTACTTTGTTGTAATTCTCTAAAATCATTCAGCTAAACTGATGGCCAATTCCTGATCTTCATTCCTTGCAAAAACTAATTAAGGCATCACCTGCTGTTACCAGTTTAACCTACTCTGGCTACCAGATCTTTGGGCTGGACCAATCTACCTCCCTGACATGTTCAATTTGACTGGTCCTGCAAATTATTGGTTTATCATTGATATAGTTATTGTTACTATCATGGATACTATTATTTTTTGTGGGTATCATCTGACAATTCTGTGGGATGAACCAACATGCAGTTGCAATTATACTTCAAGTCTAAGCCACCGGAGGGAAACAAAGCTCAACCCACTCCTGCAGCCAATGGAACAGCAGCTCCTGGTGTTCCGCCAAGGCCTTTGCCCCCACCACCCCAAGCTCCACCTCCTCCACCACCTCCACAACAAGGAGTTCCACCAGGGGCTCCGATTGGAAATCCTCCTAGAGGTCCTCCACCATCTGTACCTGGATCGTTGCCACCGCACCCTCCTCCAATGGCAAATGGACCAAGGCCTATGCCACCAGGTGGAAATCTACCTGCCCCACCACCACCCTCAGTTGGCAGTGGCTCGATGGCAAATTTTACTCCTGGACCACAAATGGCAAGGCCTCATATGCTACCTCCACAAGGTTTTCCAGGGCAACAGATGCAGGGGCAGGGGGTTCATCCACCCCCACCCCCTCCCAACATGGGATAATAGGTGTTTGTATTTATGTTATACACATGTAGAACATCAGACAATTCAGTTACCAACTTGGCTTCGGTTTGTAAGATTTATTTTCACTTGCTGGATACAGTTTCTTTACAGTGCCTCAGTACAAGTGTTGGAATGTTGCCTGAGTTTTGAGTGTTTTCCGTCAGTATACTTTTCAGTTCCCCCACTGTTTCTTGGACTTGTATTACCAGTTTGGAATACAGATTTTTATGGCGAGGCTGACCTAGAAATTAAATGTGCAGCGTAAGGCACAAGGAACTCAGGAGTCAGGAATGAAAATGCTCATGAGTTGGTGTGCCTTCCTACATCTTGTTATTTGGAGTGTGAAGAGAAGGGTTGTGGTTCTCTGAATGGTTGCCCTGTTTCTCTGGGCCTGTCCTTGAACGGCTGAATGGTTTACGATTCTTCACTCAAGCCACCAAAGAAGGCAGGCCAGTTGTGAATTCTCAGATGTATTGTATTGCTGTCTTTTGTGCAGTATACTGTGCCACTTCTGTTACTGTTCCATTGATGCAGCAATCACCCATTAGTCAAACTTGTTTTCATTGCTTCATATGAGTACCCTCTTGTTTTTCCATAAAGAAGAACCGTTCCAACTATCACTAAAATTGGCAAGACGGTTATTTGCCAAATGTGCGTGATTTTTCCAGTGCACGTATGCAGAGTTTGCACGTATAGACTTGCTTTTCAGGGTAACAAACTTTTCTAATTTCTACCCAAGCTGCCCTGACGGATTATAAGTATATTTGGCTGCACGTCTGGATTTACTTTTCAAGGTCACTTGAGTGGGAGAAGACTATAAATTTTGGTACTGTGAAGTTAAAGATAATAAGTTTTGTGGATTGAGATACAAACTATGGGTTACTTAAGATCGACTAAGACTCAAAAATTTTTAAATGGCCCGTAAAAATTGTAAATGATCACAAAAAATTGTAAAAATACNTAATAAGTTTTGTGGATTGAGATACAAACTATGGGTTACTTAAGATCGACTAAGACTCCAAAATTTTTAAATGGCCCGTAAAAATTGTAAATGATCACAAAAAATTGTAAAAATACAAAATTTGTATATCTAACACAAGGACTTGAATAACGTCTTCATGACAGCCACGGTTTTTCAGCCGAATAAACAGAAGTGACCATCTAACACAAGGACTGGAAGAGATTGTGGAGATGCATCCCAGTATCAACACAACAATACAACTCCTTGAGGTTGTTGTCCTCTATATCTTTTTAAGTTGAAACATAACAAAAACTACACATAACAACACAGTGGAATCAAACAACATTATGTCAAGCAAGGTGCCAATGATGAAGCCAAGAAAAGTAAAGGAAGACGACAAACTAAATGTGAAAGAAAATTTTATTAGCCTACTACACATTTTGAACGAGATACAAATAAGCTGAAACCAGTTTTGTGTACTCTGCAATACATACAGCATCGAATGTGTTCTCTTTCACTAGGTAAACCCACAAAAAAAAGAATTCCGTTGGCTGTTCTTGAGATGTTGTAACCATTTTGAAAAGGATGGGAGGGGAAATGAGACTCTCAACAGAGGCAAAGATAAGTTTGCAATGTGCTTTTAACTTGCTACAACGGACGAAGGAAACACCTTCCGAATAAATTCTAAAAAGCGGTTGGAGTAGAATGTTGGGTCCACAGCAGAGATGGACAGAGAATCAAACTGAATAGATTTGTATGCGTGTTCAATCTTCTTACTTATGTTGTAGTCTTGCAATATGTCGATGATACCCACGTACAGTACAACATCATATACCTCATGAAACATTTGTGTTTTTTCTTGCCCAGGAATAAGCTCGGCTCTTGCTGGCATGTTCACTCCAAGCTGGATCTGGAGCCTGCTTAACCAGACATAGGAAAATCATAATTCAATAGTGCCCTAGAAGTTAAATGATCTTCAGCTGATATACCAGGAGGCTCTTCTATTGTCAGGATTTTTTCATTTTTTGTGTCGGTTTCTCCTAGTTTTTCAAGGCACTTTTCATTCTTTGTTTCGTTTGTGCAGATTGATCAAGTTGATCTTTGACATGTTTTCCAACTTTTTGAGCATCCTCCTTTTTTTTCAGGGCTAAAGCATCTATGCTTAAATTTTTTTCTGAAGGGACTGTTCCCAAATACTGGTTGGTGGCAGTGCTATATTCTACTTCTGCTAATAAGATGAGTAGCATGAAAATGTCAAAAAAAACTAAAAGTAGAGTTGGAATTGCAAGTATCACCCTGCTTTATAGATAAACCAAATGGCAACATAAAAGGAAGCTTCTTCATGTATAAAGAATCATACCTTGCTGTCCCAGGAAGAAGTAGATCCACTTCCTCATCACCAGTGGCAGACGATGTTCGCAATCGGCTACCTCTGATATGGGAGCCCACAACAACACTATTGTCATCAGCACCGCGAGGTACCAAGACAAGGCCTTCTGGAGAGATTTCATCGTCCAGAGATTCTGTGATTGAATTATCAACATTAAGTCACCAAATAGACAATGCATATAAAGGCATCATGCATATCAAATTATACCTATTTTTAAAAAATGAAATCCAGAAAGTTCTTATCAAGGTTCAAACGAATCAACAATGAAATAGTAGTTGGATATTGAAGCTGACCTTCTTCTGCAACAATTCCTAATCCATCTGCTGTGGAATGTCTATTGTAAGACATGAGAGATCGCAGCTGTTGAGGAGCTCGATAATGAACACCCAGCAAAAGGCTGTANTCTGCAACAATTCCTAATCCATCTGCTGTGGAATGTCTATTGTAAGGCATGAGAGATCGCAGCTGTTGAGGAGCTCGATAATGAACACCCAGCAAAAGGCTGTAATCCATGATGTGCTGAGCTTCTAAAAATTTACTATCAATTTCGATCTGTCTACACAAAGATAGAGGTGATACGAAAAATATGAACAGATCAAACAAGCATCAACTTTCTTCAAAGTTCAATAATATATGCGCTCAATTACATTCAGGGGCCTTTACAATGGATAGTTATCAGTAACCCCTAAAATCAATATTCTGGGGAAGCTTCCAGTACATCCAGCAACACAAAACTAATACTGTTTTGCTTGAGCCAGTTTACCTCAGCCACAAAAGGTCTACTTGTTTAGTAGCACAAACTAACATTTGTCCAAAAGGAATAACTACAACTATCTTTGCCAATGGATCTGTGAGGTTTCGGCCAAATGATTTGCAATTAGGGAGCCTAGTGATTTAACGTCATCAGATTGATGGATCACACATATGTGAACCCATAAGAACTATATTTGACTTTAGAAAAAGGGTTGCTGGTGAAGTACCACTTACTTTAATAGGGCTTCGCGCCAGGAAGGTTCCAAATAAAAGCAATAGTTTAGATCCAGATCTTTGAGTATTGTGTTCTCATCTATTTCAACCTTGTTTGCAGAACGCCCTAAAGAGGAGCCTTTCAAATCAAATCTTCGATGGATCCTTAATTCGGTGCAGAACACATTTCCCATTACTACGAAACGAAACTGCACAAGGAGGAAAAATTTTAAAAGGCGGAGAGTATCACACTAATATAATCTTCTAGCCACTATATACTGTTTTATTTTTCTGAGCGTTTGTCTCATGAAAACTATAAAACTGCAAAAGGGAACACAAATTTCCAGTGTTCCACATGAAAGAAGAGGGGACCTATCATCAGATAGAAGGGAGGTCATGGTACTTTCCTCAGCTCTTTCATGACAGATTGTTGACCGATACAATCTTAATAAATTAGTACGAGGAACCAATTGAATGTATCACGTTACTGATTATTATAATACAAAAGAAAAATTGATTGGTATAAGGTCATAAGTTCACGTCTCATTACCTTCTGACCACTTGAAGGTTTTATCCTGTGAAGACCAAAGAATTTAGTTATGAGTGTATTCTCATACATCCGCACATGACGGTGATAGTTTGGAAGCATCCGCAGAAGAACCTATACAAAAGAACACAGTTAGAACTTTAGCCAACTTCAGTCAATGAAAGCATCTGTTTTAGGAAACAGTCCAGCTTGGTTGAGAGATGTAATAGATAGCTACATAACTAAAATGAATGCTGAGCATTAACATAAGCCACAAAATCATCTAATAGATTGAAGCCAGGAAAGCTGAAACTTAAGTTATAAACTAACTGTAACTCAATTTAGTCCTGTGGCATACTCGAATGCTGAATATGTGTCGGTGGCACAAGTAAGAGAGTCTAGTTGTCTCCCCAGCTTACATGGAGTCATGGAGATGCATATAGATGAAATAAGGGTGTGACACATTCCTAAGAACTGAAACAAGAGGGAATAGAAGGGAAACAGAGGATGTTCCTAACCCCTGAAAACATCACAGAAAGGGACCATTTTGTTAGATGGAGTAACATTCTGAACTCAATCATAATCCTATAGATTCTTGTCGATTCTTAAATTGCAGAGACTTGTTTTTTATTTTTCTTAAAGTGGATTCTCCATAATAGGGATCTTTGCTTTGTTGGATGGTACAATTCTTGGGCTGTGAAGCATGGGAATGTGGCTCAGATTGTAAGAGTTGCTAGACTACTTGGCACCCCTCCTTCTGAAATTACACTGACACTCATTGTCAGAATATTGTCATTTCACCACAATCATTGGACCTCGAAATCTTCCAAATATGCCCTTGCACATTAAATAAGCAAAATTTCCTATGCAGCCAAACAACCCAAGTGCTAAAACTTCATCAGACCCAACACACAAAGCAAACCTCAACCCAATCTCAAAGTATATCTTTCTTTCTCTCTCCCCCCCCCTTCTCTTTTTCTCACTAAACCATCACCAATGTCTGAATACTTCTCTCTCTCACACAAAAACACACGTACACAACCAAAAAACTCTCTCTTCTTCCTTTAGCTCTCTAGTCTCTTAGTAGACCCAAGTCCCACTAAAATTCCCACACTTAGAAACCATCAACCCAAATCTATATGGTCACACACAACCACAAGTCATCATCAGACCACCATCCCATGACAAATCTTATACTCAGAAACTACAAATCCAAATCCACAAACGTCACAAAAATGCACACACAAACCCCAAATGCTCACCGGACTAACGACCCACCACGAATCCCTACCCCACCACCACCTTTCCACCACAAAACCCCAAACCCACTATGAATCAACTGCTGCCACCATTCAAGCTAGTCGGCGCTACCAAATCCTATTCAGTAAACAACCCCCCCCCCCCCCCCCGAACACAAAAAAAAAACCCATTTGAACCCCACTATAGAATCCCCATTGCATTTTCCAAGTGTCAATCTAGAGGAATTTTAATAATATTATTGACTTGGGGTCTTTACAAATTTGTAGGCATCAAGCTCAATCTTCCTCGAACTCTTTTTCGTCCCCATCAAGCTCTAGCTCTCTTTGACACTGGGTGTGGCAGTTTTGACGAAGCCAGTGCAGGGTGTAGTCATTTGGTAATGACAATGATTGTTTGGCTGGTGGTTCTTGGCGATGGTGCTATGAATGGGGAGACAGAGGTCTGTTTGTCAGTCATGATGTGATGAGTGGTGGAGGTATAATGATGCAATTAGCGATACAATTATGGATTTTGTTTTGGACAAAATAAATAACACAGTTGGTGGCTGGTAGTGATGCAATTGGTAACACATTTGGGGGTGGTTGTAGAAGGTGCAGGTGGGATTGTGGTGCCTCGTTCTGGTGAAATGGTTGTCACAGCTTTGGGTCTGAACTATCAGAGAGATCAAAATAGATAGGGAGATGGGTGAGTCCAGAATGATGATGGAAGGTGAAGGTTATTCATTTAGTTGTCCGCCATCGTGGGGCTCTTTTTGGACTTTTTTTTTTACGCAATATNTGGAGACAGAGGTCTGTTTGTCAGTCATGATGTGATGAGTGGTGGAGGTATAATGGTGCAATTAGCGATACAATTATGGATTTTGTTTTGGACAAAATAAATAACACAGTTGGTGGCTGGTAGTGATGCAATTCGTAACACGTTTGGGGGTGGTTGTAGAAGGTGCAGGTGGGATTGTGGTGCCTCGTTCTGGTGAAATGGTTGTCACAGTTTTGGGTCTGAACTATCAGAGAGATCAAAATAGATAGGGAGATGGGTGAGTCCAGAATGATGATGGAAGGTGAAGGTTATTCATTTAGTTGTCCGCCATCGTGGGGCTCTTTTTGGACTTTTTTTTTTACGCAATATATTTTTCAGTGACGAGGCTATTTAGTATCTGACAAAATATGTAAAGAGCAAAATGTACAGTTGGAAGCTAAAAAATTTGCTGACTTCACAACCTTTTGTGAACACTTCAGATGCTTTGTCAAGACTGGTGTACCCTGTATTATGAAGACAAAACCAGAGGGAGGTTGGTGTAACCTCAGGAACAAGAAGGGAAGTAATAAAATTGTCAAATATCCAAAGGGGGTGTTGGTCTAATTTATCCAAAAACAAACATGCCGCCTCTTCCTCGATTATATTCAATAGTATCCCAATCTTGATTTGCTGTCTTGATTATGTTTTCCTGTCCCACCAGTAACCTAGGGTAAACACCGAGAACCTTCCGTAAATCACGTGAAACAGCCTTTAGGATAAGGTCACTTACCGAATTATCCACATTTTTCACCTAAACTGGACAAAAACCCACCTTGGTAACTAAATGAAGGGAATTTGTTCAGCCAACAATCACCCTTCTTTCTTGGACACAAAAAAAGCAACAATTGGCCCTTCATTGATATGGTAATTCAAAAGAAATGGATTACTCAGGCCCACTTCCACCTTTCCTGAATATTTTCCTTTTTTGATGACTCCACATCTAATATGCATATGTTATGAAATGAATGGCAAGCCGAATTTACGAAAGTGTTATGAAATGAATGGCAAGCCGAATTTACGAAAGTGTCATGAAATGGATTATTTGAAGGACCATCTCTAATAGCATTTCCTTCTCTATGGGGCACAAGCTATGAAGCACGGATACGNTAATATGCATATGTTATGAAATGAATGGCAAGCCGAAATTACGAAAGTGTTATGAAATGAATGGCAAGCCGAATTTACGAAAGTGTCATGAAATGGATTATTTGAAGAACCATCTCTAATAGCATTTCCTTCTCTATGGGGCACAAGCTATGAAGCACGGATACGGATACGAAATACGGGGACGATACAATACAGATACGGCGATACGACAAAATCTAAAAAAATAGGATACGAGTACAACCAAGATACGGATATAATAAAATATATTTAATATTTTTATTATTTTCAACCAACTTAATACTTATATATTTTGGTAGTTCTTTAATATACAGTAAAGAAAATTAATAATTTTTTTTAGTTTTAAGAAAATATATACCTAGTATTTAAAAGTAATTTTTGCTAAGATAATAATGTTATAGCTTTATTTTATACTCTTTTGACATGTAATTGTAGATAATATTTAAGAAACAATCATGTGTCTTTGAAGTAATATGAATTTTTTGTTAAGGTATTGTATGGTATGTAAATTCAAAAAGAGATGTTAAAAGTTCAACTCANGCTCTTTTGACATGTAATTGTAGATAATATTTAAGAAACAATCATGTGCCTTTGAAGTAATATGAATTTCTTGTTAAGGTATTGTATGGTATGTAAATTCAAAAAGAGATGTTAAAAGTTCAACTCAAAAATTATATATGTTCCTTGATCACAAAAGTATCCGTAAAAGTATCCTAATATTTAATTATTATCAGATACGTAGAAGGTGTATCTGATACGTATCCACGAGTATCCGACAAGTATCGTATCCGATACGGTATCGGATAAAGGTACGTCAACCTCAACAAAGTATTTGTGCTTCATAGGGCACAAGTAATGCTATTACGAGCAATCAGACATCTTCCATAAAACAACGAAAAAGTGTAAAATGGGTCTTTGTATGATATGAGGGAAGACTGGCATAAAGGAAAGAAGGAGCAAAGATGGGTAGTGATGGAGACAGTTCCAATCTTTCGGTGGGAAAGGGAGGGGGGCAGGGGAAGAGGACCTGTGGAGGGGTGAAAATTCCCCTGGCTGATAAGTCGAATAAAAAACGATAAAAGGGCAATTTTTTGTTTTTCCATTTGAAACATCCCTTACCTTTCCCATCCCCTTTTGTCATCTTGCTAGTTCTCCTACGAGAAAAAGTATAAAGCATGTGTTAAAAGGACAAGACTTGTCTGGTTTGGTTTAGTCTTTATGTTGTGAGCATATATCTAAAGGGTTATGCTTGATCCATTTTGAGATGGATCAACATTTCAAAACACTGCGAGAAATAAAGAAAGAAAAAGAAGGAATTTGAAAACATGTCAATTTGCAAGATCCAAATTGAGATGGCACACCTTTACTTCAGATTTCCGGAGTGTCTTAATCATGAAACGATCATCTTGAGACAGGAAAAACACACTTCCACTTTTACCAGGAGAGGAGAGTTCCCTAAGAGCGTCATTTCCACAAATAGACATCATATAATCAGCAGCATTGATTTTGAACAGCTCCCTCAAGTTCCTACAGTGTGATGCAATTTAAAAGATATAACAAAGAAAAAACACATTCATAGATGATACTAGAAACTTTTATGATGCCACTCATCACAATTATAACTTGCAGAAAGAAAGGAAGAAAGATGAATAAAAGTGCTCATTCACAAGGCTAACTTACAAAAAAGGGGAATGAAATAGCATAAAAGTGTGCATACTCATATATCTATAGCAATCTTAAAATAACGTCCCCAAAAAAAAAGTATCAATTTATATAGCTATCTTAAAAATAATGTCTATGGAAACGAATCTCATTGAAATTCTTGATCATACATTTGAGAAGAGTAATCTGTCAAATATATCTGTCACAAGTTTGAAGAGAACAGAACTGCACATGTGTACACAGAAGAAAAACTGCAACCACAAACAAAGTTATTCCCCTGAAGCTTATGTTACCATGGTTAAAACCCGTAAAGTAAGTAGAAACAAAATGTGAGATGAATTACAGCAACTGCATCAACCACAACTGAGAACTGAAGAAACAATTTCTACTATTATGAGAGAGAGAGAGAGAGAGAGAGAGAGAGAGAGAGAGAGAGAGGATGGCTACCAACCTGAAAACCATTGGACAATAATCTTTCCATTTAAAATCCTCCGACTGATGAGGGGGCGTCAATTGGGACCCTTCTCTTGGAAAATTCATCCAAAAGCAGGCACGCGGACCAAAATCTGAAGCTCGCACTTCTCGAATTTGGATAGGTGTAATTTTCCCCACAGTGTATCTGATCAAATTATAAGACTGTTCAATTTTATTCTATTCAGAAGATAAGATGAGTAATCAACTACAGGAAAAAGGCAGAAATATCGAAATTTCTGCCACAATGCCCTGACAATGCCTTCCCTAGTAATTCTTCACAATAACAATACATGGAAAAAACAAGAATGATACAAATGTAAAAGTAAAGAACTGCAATATCCCAGTTGTACATTCACCAAATGACAAAAGCAACACATATAGATAAATCGATAAACACACAACAAATAAAACAGGTACTTGTTTTTANCAATACATGGAAAAAACAAGAATGATACAAATGTAAAAGTAAAGAACTGCAATATCCCAGTTGTACATTCACCAAATGACAAAACCAACACATATAGATAAATCGATAAACACACAACAAATAAAACAGGTACTTGTTTTTATTGCTACAACAGGTACCTTTTGAGATGGACACTTCTTATATATTTGTTTTGTGCTTTCTACATAAAAATTCTAGCATGATATGCCAGAAGAAGAGGAGGTGGAAACATAACATGATTCATTTTAACTCTTAAACCTTTCTTACTTCCTAATTCTGTTACCCTGCCTCCTTTTCCTTGGTTATTTGATTCGTATTTCAGAGATTACGGTATGTGTTTCAAGAATACATACTACTTTTCTAATGTAGACACCTAACAGCACTTAACTAGAATGTTGACATTTGATAATATCAATAAACATTGTCGGGACATGATGATGACAAAAGTTCCAGTTTGCATTTTTTGTTCAGACTTATGAACATAATAGTAGTTCCACACATAGTTGTTAAATCGTGTATCGGAAGGCGTATTATTTTTCAAAAATAGTGTATCATATCGTATCATATATCGTGTATCGTAAGATACGCGCAATTTTAATTTTTAAATAATTATTAATAATATATATATATATATAGATACCTTTGTAAAAAAGTCATAGACTCAAAATAATATAGTATTTCATTAATATTCCACAAACTATTCAAATTTCCAATATACTTCAGTAATATCAAAATGTAAAGACCTCTAATTCAAACTTTTAACATCAACTGCTTGAATAACCTTAATATTAATCAAGAATTTTGAATTCAACTGAACAACATTAAGAAAAGACTTTATTTTATATTTTTAAAACCATAACCACTGAAACGACATTATTTCACTGGCTAGATATTTAAAAATAAGTTATAGGGCAAAATAATGTCATTTTAGCCCCAAAAAACCAAAAAAAAAAAAAACATAATCATCAAGTATCGTACGTATTGGATGTATCATATCATATATCGTACGATACGGTGTAAAAACGATACGTATCGTTTTTCAGGTGTATCGTGACGTATCGTACGATACTAATAACTATTCCACAAATTTCAAGAAACTACTTNAAGAAAAACGATACGTATCGTTTTTCAGGTATATCGTGACGTATCGTACGATACTAATAACTATTCCACAAATTTCAAGAAACTACTTCCACCAAAAGTCAATAACAACCAAGAAATATGTCTTTATTCCTACGTTTCAACTCTAAGATTCCATGATCTGAAGTTGTGTGGTCAAATCTTAATCTGTAAATCACAGTTCAAAACTTTAGATCCATATATTAGAAATTGGCCACACCTGCAAAGTTTAACAATCAAAAGAAATATCTTCTATCCTGCATGATTTGCAAGGTAAAGCCCTTGCATAGCCCTAAATATCAAATTCACAAGTGCATCAAGAAGTAAGTAAGTGGAATGAGAACATTAGTTTCGAGACTCTAGCCTATATAAACTAGAACACCGAACACGTAAAACCCAGAGCAATTGACAACTAAATGTGATACCAGTGGGAAGACATAAAATTATTTTATTTTATTTTATCAAAACCTATGCACCAGAATTGTATAGGATGAAAAAACTTATAAATAACCACAGATGTAATGAAGGGAGTTGAGGAAGCAATGTTCACTGGGAAAATTAATTATAGTCAAGAAAGTTGCTGTGCCTGATTCCAAGCTGCAAACTGAGCATTAAATCATAACTCCTGTGACCTTTAATAATTGCTTCACCTGGCCTCTTTACCTCCCTTGCAAGTTTCTTCTGTCGCCTTTTTGCGCTTTTGGATAAGGGTGAAAAACAATGGTTTAAAACAAGTTCACTTATTAAAACACCTTGCATATATTCTCTTTCCAGGATTGGACTGTTAGCATCATCCGCATTTTCTCCATCTTCTAAAACATTCTCTGATGAACCCAGGGATAAATCATGCCCGATAATTTTCTCGATAGATACCTCAAGACTCCAGCGTCTTTCCAGGGAAACATTTGTTGTGCGAGATTGATCCAGACCTAAAAGCCTTCCCTTTGAGAGCTTATCATATGAATTACGACGAGATCCACGGTTCCCACCAACCTTGACATTTCCCATATCAACCGAAGAAGCATGCTGAATATGTGAAACTTGATTTTGCTTTCTCAAATCCGGCAGTAGCCCTCGTTTTCTTAGAGCACTAAGGTACAGTTCTTGTGCGGCTGGAAGCTTGCTGCCTTTTGGATAAAATACACCTTTCCCATCCTTCAGACCCCGTGTCCAAGTTCCTACGAAGCATCCACCAGCACTCCATGTGTATACTCCAAATCCATGCATCATGCCATTTAACCAGCTTCCTTCATATGAGTCCCCATTGTTCCAAGTAAGAGTTCCTTTTCCTGACATTTTCCCTCCTTTCATATTTCCCAGATACATATTTCCGTTAGGCCACGTATACTTACCAGGCCCTTCCAGAGTTCCCTGAATCCAAGATCCTTCAACGACATTTCCATTAGGATATGTTTGAAGTCCTAACCCATGTTTTAGATTCAACCGCCACCGTCCCTTATAGGTCAAATTATCAGATGCAATATACGTCCCAGTTCCATGCATATAACCACCTGAAAATTCACCCTCATACAAAGCTCTAGAAGGCCATTGAAGTTTGCCACATCCTTGCCTCATCCCCTGTCTCCACTCGCCCTCNGGGTCAAATTATCAGATGCAATATACGTCCCAGTTCCATGCATATAACCACCTGAAAATTCACCCTCATACAAAGCTCCAGAAGGCCATTGAAGTTTGCCACATCCTTGCCTCATCCCCTGTCTCCACTCGCCCTCATATGTGCAACCATCTGACCAGACATACTTCCCTGAACCCTCAGGAGTGTTGCCAAGCAGGGACCCAGAATAAGCGTCCCCGTTGGACAATAAGAGCTCTGCAACTCTAAAGCCAGCAGTTTCAGAAGAAGTACGAGCATCTGTACCATTGGCCAGTAAGGATGGGCGGTCATCGTCATTGAATGATATGGCATCAAGTGATTTTGCCCTATTTGACAAGGAAACTGCTCCTTCCGCATTGTCAACAATGGCCACAGTGCAAGACATGCATAATGCGAAAATGTCGCAGTTTTTTTACTAGATAGAAAATAGTCTCATGAGGTTAAAGACACCAGACACATACTCAATATGACGTAACCCCCAAAAAAATCCCGTACTTTGTCCTGAAATAAAGTAATCAAAACCTGCTCAATTCCTTAACATATTCAAAAAACTGACAGTATATTGCAAGGTTTTGGTAATAATGATTATGGTAATGGCGAACATAAATAAGGGATAATGTACATAAAAATTACAAGCTTAAACGACAAACTATGAACTTCTAACAATGTAATTTCATGCATTTAAAATATGTATGGAAACTTTTCTACATTATCCGATAAACATAGTTGATAAATTACAACAGGGAAGGGTAGAAAGGATGTGCACGTGAGGTGAAATTTTGTGCCCATAGTCGAAAAAAATTTATGGATTTAGTAGNCCCCGTACTTTGTCCTGAAATAAAGTAATCAAAACCTGCTCAATTCCTTAACATATTCAAAAAAATGACAGTATATTGCAAGGTTTTGGTAATAATGATTATGGTAATGGCGAACATAAATAAGGGATAATGTACATAAAAATTACAAGCTTAAACGACAAACTATGAACTTCTAACAATGTAATTTCATGCATTTAAAATATGTATGGAAACTTTTCTACATTATCCAATAAACATAGTTGATAAATTACAACAGGGAAGGGTAGAAAGGAAGTGCACGTGAGGTGAAATTTTGTGCCCATAGTCGAAAAAAATTTATGGATTTAGTAGCCCTCCTCTACTCATTGTTGAGAAGTGTATTTGCTATACTTATATATGTTAAAGAACCACATTAGTGTCATAACCATAGTTGTTAGTATACTACGGTACATCTTAGTACAGTACCTCAACGATACTTACCTAGTATCTAAAACTCATATCATTTTTTTTTTTTGTATCTTATAGTACGCGATACGTATCTTACGATATATTTTAATACAATGAAAAAAGATACTCACCATAACATTTTCTTTTTTAATTTTTTAGTCTACATAGTGAAATGTTGTCGATTTACAAGACAATTTTTACCCTAAACAATGAAACGACATTGTTTCCTATAAATTATTTTTTCTTTTTTGTTTTGATCTCAAACAAACTAAGCCCTCGATCATCTTCTCTACAACCCTCTTTTGTTTCTCCTTGATCCAATTTTTCTTCTCCTCCTTCAAACAAACAAAAATCTAGCTACATTTCTAACGTGAAAACAAACGATTGTCTCTCTTTCGGTCTCCATCGAAAACATGCATTGCNAATACTCACCATAACATTTTCTTTTTTAATTTTTTAGTCTACATAGTGAAATGTTGTTGATTTACAAGACAATTTTTACCCTAAACAATGAAACGACATTGTTTCCTATAAATTATTTTTTCTTTTTTGTTTTGATCTCAAACAAACTAAGCCCTCGATCATCTTCTCTACAACCCTCTTTTGTTTCTCCTTGATCCAATTTTTCTTCTCCTCCTTCAAACAAACAAAAATCTAGCTACATTTCTAACGTGAAAACAAACGATTGTCTCTCTTTCGGTCTCCATCGAAAACATGCATTGCCCGAAATGATGAGTGAGTTAAACTAATATTTATATCACTTGAGCCATCATAGAGTTACATATTTCTAGGTATGTGTGTGTGTGTGTATATATTCAAATTGAGTGTATCTTATTATACATGATATGTTACGATGTAATACATTATTTTTTTAAAATGATACACGTTCTGATTCAAGTTTTGACAAACTTGGTTATAACATGTTTTACAAAGTTGAATATTTGTGTAAACTTTACCCCAGTCAAGAACAAAATGAGTATTTATTTTATGTAAGCTTTATATTCCACTAATTTGATTTGGTTTACCCTTTATTTGTGTGCATTTTTTTGAATCTCTATTATCTTGTATGCCTATTCACATACAANATATATTCAAATTGAGTGTATCTTATTATACATGATATGTTACGATGTAATACATTATTTTTTAAAAACAATACACGTTCTGATTCAAGTTTTGACAAACTTGGTTATAACATGTTTTACAAAGTTAAATATTTGTGTAAACTTTACTCCAGTCAAGAACAAAATGAGTATTTATTTTATGTAAGCCTTATATTCCACTAATTTGATTTGGTTTCCCCTTTATTTGTGTGCATTTTTTTGAATCTCTATTATCTTGTATGCCTATTCACATACAACTAGGATCATGTGTGCAGCGAAATATTAGAAGTCCCACTTCAATAGAATAACACTTCGTAAACTAATAGTCAAGTACATGAGCCTTGAACTCCACTCATTACTTGATGATTAGGAGTTTGATGCTTTAGCACACAAACTTTCATGAATGATCCTAATCTCAAACAATCATTCATGTGAAAGAGACACGCTAGTAAATCTCGGTAATAGCAGTTAGCCCAGTATCACAATGCCTACTCGTACAATATCAAAAGAATTCAGGCCTCAAATCAGATGCATCTGCAGCAAAGAAATCATCTTCTAGCCCAAGCCCCTGTTTTCCCTCTTTTGTCAACTGTCATTTAACAAATCCAGAGGTAACCTTACCACAGTAGAGATCCAGTACTTGAGATGAAAAGATTCAGATGTACAATAACCATGCAGCTACCTTGGCAATACAATTACCATCAGCACCAATTANTTTCTAGCCCAGGCCCCTGTTTTCCCTCTTTTGTCAACTGTCATTTAACAAATCCAGAGGTAACCTTACCGCAGTAGAGATCCAGTACTTGGGATGAAAAGATTTAGATGTACAATAACCATGCAGCTACCTTGGCAATACAATTACCATCAGCACCAATTACTTACAAGTAATGGTATGTCTACGATGTAATGTTTGCCAAGCACTTGAGATGGAAAAGAATCGACTTCAGATGGCACTGTACAGCAAATTGGTGCTTCAATTTCCAAAAGAGCTGCAAGTTCTACCGCCAATGAACAGGTCAGCCTCTCTAAAATATACCACATGGATGACTTTCACAGCCTTTCTTACATCTGTTCAGGTGAACACCCAAGGTTTCCAGCTGCATGCCTGCATCTATACTGTTAAGGCTCTATCCCTCCAAAGACTTTAACTATGTTACAGGCTGCACTTGAATACATTTTTCTTATAACAAATTTCAAACCTAGAAGTTTGGTTTTTCCTTACCAATGACCATCATCTAGTTCACAGTACTAGCTGTAGGAAGTAAGACAATGGGTTGGTAATGGTATCCTGAGTTGTACACAACATATCCTATTTGAACTTCAGTTAAAGTTTGAGAAAATTCATGTAGGGTATTGATAAGATTTATAATATCCTAAAATAATTTAGCCACAAAAATCAGAAACTAATTACCTTTTCATCGAGGCAATATGATCCTTATGTCGAAATATGGATGAAAACTTGAGATATTTCACTTCCGATCATTTAATAATTGATGAGATCAGCACAGAAGTGATTTCAGGAGGGAAAAATGAGGTCATACAAAAACCAGTTAGCATCATATTTTCTCAATATCAAGTTGTTGTTTCAACTTCCATCCCCTATACACATTTTAATTCTAAACTCTAACTTAACAACAAAATTGTAGCATCTGATGTCTAATCGGAATCAAATTGTGGTCGGCACAGAAATGAACTACATTACACTTCAAACTTTTTGAAATATCAAAAACCTTGATATCTGACCCAACTTTAGAATCCAAACAATGTGATGAATTTGTAGCCTAACCACACAATCAATTAGTGGCTTCTATTCAGTCAAAAGTACATTAGATGGCCTGTAAGAGTGTAAGAACAGAGAACCAGTATCATCTGTCATCTTTCTGCAATCTCAAAATTAGATGGCCATACATAAGTAGGGGAATCTAGATTTTGAAGTGTTTGGAAGTTATCTTCTTATTCTAATGGCCGTCTATGATGGCTCAAGACTTGCACTCCGACATGAAGGGAAGTCATAATTGTTCCCATTTTTATAAAACACACAGAAGCGAACCACATACAATTTTCCATATATACTAGTTGCAAGGGTACCAAGAACGAGCATCGACCCCATATTCAAATAATATGTGTGTGTGTGTGGTCTACTTCACATTTAAGAGCACCTTTTTGGTACTCTCTAGTTACCCAGAACCTGCCCGTTACAAAAAGAAAAAAAGAGGGGGGGATTCCCGGAACTCCGTTTCAGCTCAGAAAGCAAAGATAACCCCGTTTGGTAAACAGGAACTCAATTAAAAGAAAAAGTTCAAAATTAGAAGTCCCAAATTTTCCCAATATGAATTCTCAGAGACCAAGCGTAACATAAAAAGCAAATTAACGAAAGTACGAACTAAAAGTTGCCCCCCACATTACAAACAAGAAGAAAAACCTCACTAAATTTCTAAAATCAGCAAGGGTATTATCTCCTTTTATAATGTGAAACAACTCATACAGTGGGATTCTCTGGCTTTCAATGTTCAAAAACGAGTATTTGTAGAGAAGACAGACTTACCCAAAAAAGAGAAGTTGAAGAGAGTGAGATTGGTAGGTCGAACAGAGAGAAAAGCGCAAAGATAATCAGAAGAGAAGTAGCGGAGGTTTTAAGCTTTTGTGTTGATCGATTCTTCCTTGACTTAAAAGAGATGAAATCCAAGTGGACCGCATCTCAAGTAACTCTGCTCTTACCAGAAAATAACTTGAAAATCAAAAAACACCTTTGTAGCCTGTAGGTTATTCGTATTTTAACGAGCACACGGCGACGAGCAAAGTAAAAAGACTTTTATACCCATTAGTAACTTTTAAAAAAATTCATTTTCTTTAGACTTACATTTTTATTTTCGTCTCGTACAATTGAGTTGTAATTTCACTTTATACTATAGTATTTTTAGTACAGTATCAATAAATTAACCTTTCATTGTAATTATATTCGATGTGATGGATTCATGTTAAGTCTTAATAAGTTTGTATTAAAAAATACTTTACTAATACTCAATTCGTTTATTAAT